CTCTTTCCTTTCTAATCAGAGGATCCCTTCCTAAATTCTGCACCCCGGAAAGGAAGAAAAGGATGAACTGCCCTCCCTAAAGTCCATCTTGTCTATTTAGATAAACTGGAGCTAACTACAATTCAGTCTTTATTATAGCAAACACCCGAAAGAATCCCCTTCTAGGCTAGCTATGAACTATCTCATAATAAGGGTGATACACGATAACACTATATGTCCTGTGTCAATGGCTGAAGACATACGGCTATGATGATGTTTTGATGGTAAACCTGGGAGGGATGGGCTGTACCTGTCAGCATGCTTTCATTTACAATGCACTGCCCACTGATCAGGATGGCGTCACAAGGCAAAAGGGTTTTGCCCTCTTTCAAAACCAGCATATCTCCAGGAACAAGATGGTGTGATTCCAGCTCTTGGCAACCTGTAGGTGACATGTAATACAAACTTTGTGCTTCATACATTTCTCTGTGGTAAGGCGAAAAAATACAAGGAACTACCTGCTGAATAGATTGTTATAATGGCTGATAAATAAAGGACCACAAGTAGGACCTAAGAATACCACCTCCAATATTTAGAAAAGCCTAGGCATCAGTTTGAACTGCAGAATTCCTTCTTATCTCCCCAGGAGCCCAACCAATGATTATTGTTCCAATAAGCTGACCTAACTGAAGGAGCTTGGATCTACGTTTCTTAGTTTGACTCCATCTTTTTGGATTGTGCTCTAAATACCATGGCAATGAACAGACTTTGCATGGAGCAATTAGATGGACTCACAGCCATTTAATGGCTATGTGTTTGGCTTTGTCAGCACTGCTTTAAGAAAAATGACGTCGTTTTCCTGATAATTTTTTGCTAAGGCTGTGCTCAGTTATGAATATGATTGATGTGCCATAACATACTTCTAGGTCAAATTAACCCAATCTGCAGAAGCTAGTTAATGGAGCTGACAGACAGAAGAGGAAACTGCTCTAGAAGGAATTTGATACTATACATTCTTGGGTTTGACATAAATTGCAATAGAAATGAAACACATTGAAGAAAGAAGTGTACAGGAGTCACCTTCCTTATTTCTGCAGACAGTGACCATGATGTTGTTATGAGACTCAACCAGTCTGTGCAGTTTAACCGATTGCTATAAATTAAAGGAGAACACACAAAAGCGTTACATCTTACTTACATGATGCAATTCATCCACTAATAATTATTCCCTTTTGTTATTTGTGGTTATGAGAGCCCTCATAAACTGGGGTCTGGCCCTGCCAGAAACTGTACAATCATACAGAGAAAGAAATTCCCCACCCTAATTATGGAGAAGGTGTAACAAAAAGTTACAAAGCAAAGCACTGGAATGGGGAAGGGAGGATATGGGTAAAGAACCACACAGAGATTATGATGACTAGGAGGCCAGGCCATTGCACCTGCTACTACACAATGTCAAAAGACTAAACCTCTGAGTAACTCTCATAGCACTGTACGTGTGCATGTTGTAACATCCTGGCCTTTCCCAGACATTAGAAATAAATCCTTCTTGTGGAAAAAGGTTAGGTGTCTCACCTGTCTAAGATCATACACAGTCAAAAAAATCGAGAGAAGAGACATGATTATGATGGCAGTGGCATACTCCATGTAATCTTCAGCAAACCACAGACACACACTGAACAGCTGGAACACGTAAAATGGATTTAAGACCTGTTTGGAGAGAGAGCAATACTCAAGAGCTGGCCACATTTAAATGGCTCCATTTTACCCAGCCAGTCCATCCTGTTAGAAATGGGCTGGAATAAAAGCTATTAAGTGTCATGACTCCCAACCCCCTTTCTAATTTTGTTAGCAGTGGCTTCAGTCTAATCAGATTGGACCATCTCCATCTGACAGAAGGGCCAAATAATCTGGACCAATAGGATGTTATTTGGGATGTGAATGGCTCAGCCCAGGCCTTGTTTTGCTTGCTTCTTTACAAGAAATGTAACAAAGGTGAGAGAAGAGCAGGTTGTGCTGTGAGGATGGAGCTCACATACCATAGGCACATCTCCACAAACACTCTGTTTAGGCCACATATAGCCAGTTCCTGTCTGAAAAAGATACTGGTGCTTTACATGGTGCTGTGCCCAGAGTCATGAGCTCATTGGATCTCTCTGCAGCTGAAGGCATATACCAGCTACTGCTGTTCACTTAATCTCTGCTGATTAAGAGACAGCCTTTGCCTGGAAGGTTTGATTTCCAGTGCAGCTTGTAAACATTCACTGACCCTTGTAAGGTCAACAGAATGAGCTCCCAGGACACAGATACATAAAATACCAAGCAGCCATACAGGCATGGGGATAGAGGATAAGGAACAATAAATTTATGGTGATTTCATGGAACACCTTTAAACACAATTTGAAAAAGGAGTGTGCTTGATGAGTGAGTACTGGGAAGCTAATTCAGACATAGACTCCATTATATTCTATATGCACACTCTGCCTCCCCAAGTAGCCTAGAATAAAAGCAACAGAAATGCTTAACCTCTTTGATGAGTAGTTTCCAAATAGGGATCACTGGAACATCAACAGTGTTTGGCCCACATATAACTCTCCTGTATGGGATAAAGATACATCACTTACATATAAAATAGTGACAATGTAGCTCACTCAAGAAGCTGCAGCTTTCAATAGTCCTGAGAGCTTGTATTGATCCCAGTCTAAAGGCTGTGAGGATGTTTCTCCAAGAAAAAGCTAAAAAATTAAATGCCCCTACAGTGCTTATGTCAGAAAAGAAGATTGTATCAGTGAAATCTACTTAAACAGACATGAGGTGTAACACAGCCTTTTAGGCAAACATTTCCATCAGGCAAAAAATCCTTTGAAGCATCATAAACAAAGGAATTCTACACCTAAAACTAAATGATCTAAAACCAAATAATTTTGCATAAAGTTAAGGGTGATTTGAATGTAAGATTCAAGATGAGCTAAGGTCAGGAGCTGGATTTTCAGTATCCAAACTGAAGATGATTTCTTTATTTAGCAGTTTCAGGAATACCTATTCTGTAAATTGTCTAATGACACAGTAGTTTGTGAGAATGAATTCAATGACCAGAACTAATTGATTTAGAAGTTCAATACAATTACATGGAGCCCCACTGAAGAAGCACACACACAACTTATCTGCACTGTCTCATGGAGACTTTCTCTTACTCCAAGTAAGAACTGCTTAGAGTTAGTTACAGGACATAGTTATTTCCTGATTGAGAACAGTAACAGTGATGAATACTGAGATATTTCAAAAACTTTGACAAGGAATACACAACATTCTCTAGCCCTTTGCATTCAATTTTTCATGCATGGCCATTTCATCTAAAATTATGTGCATACTAATGGATACACAAGAAACTTAAGGGAAGTGCACCAACAGCAGTGAATTTACATCTCTTTGAAATCCATATGTTGAATACTTATGTTTTAAAATGTGTACCTGACATTCTGTTCATTGCAGGTGAGACCAGAACCAAATTTGGCATGTATAGCTGAGCAAGTGTGGTGGTCTTCTAGGGCTCTAAAATATAAAGGGAGTGTTTTCCTTAGGACATTGTTCACAAAGAAGCTTGACTTCCTCCGAGACTTGTGTAATCAGGGCATTGAACTCACCCAACTTTCTGGAACTGTTTTGCATAGATATTCCAGACATAGCGGATTTTTTGTATTTGGATAATTTTCACCTGCAAAACAAAACAGGGACAACAATATATGCAACACAGCAAACAAAAATACTCCCAGGCCCTCTCACAGATCTCAGCTAGGCATCCTCACTGGGGTCAAGCACAGATAAAGCAAATTATATGGGGGGCAGGGAGGGAGAGAAGACAGGACTGCATATACTAACACCCTAGTTATGTTATAGAGTGGGATCCCCAACGCAGTGCAGGTTCCATTAAGTTTTACATATCTTTAGGTCAAGCAAGTACAAAGCAGCATTCTTCTCTCCCCATTTTGTGAAGCAAGGAATACAGTCCTCACTCCCATTTCACAGAATGAAGGAAAGAGATCACTGATGCTGTGGTGGATACGCAGGCAGTTGTCAAAGCCCATCTTCAGTCAACAACTCTCTTATCTTTTGTCTGGCTTTGAAGAAAGCAGGGGGGTATGGGCAGTTTTCAGGATGGTGCTGAGTCCTTCAGCTGAACAGATATGCCAACAAACAAGAAAGGCCATCCCAGGATACTTCCTGAGTCACTGCTAATGATAAGTCCTTGCAGAGCAGTTACCCATCAGGAACGCACGCTACCATTTATAACTTGCAAAAGAAGTCTGTCCTGTCCTGCGCAACAATAACAAAGCCTATTAGAGATAATGGCGCTTCATATCAGCTGGAAGAAGGCAAGGCTATACACCTATACACATAAGTAATAAAAAAATCAGCTCTAGGGGACTCTCCCTACCCACTGCAATAAGCATTATTATAGGCCAATGAAATCTATACTCAACTTGCATACGGACTCAAAATGGAGCTATAACCACAGTCATTATCCTAACAAGAGGTCTGTAGTTAGGATTTCATGCAAGAGGAGCTGCAATATTTGCAATGCTAAAAACTGGAGTGGGAAATGAGGGACTCTACTCGCTGCCGGAACAGGTCTTTGGACAGCTCTTGGGCACTACACATTACTCTGTAGACTTAGGTAGCTCAAACGGCAAACAGGTTTTATAATTGACATATAAGTAGGAGCTTTTGAATTGCTAGTGAAGGATTAAACTGTTTGCTCTTTGCTGCTTTGAAATCTGTTCTTTTCTATCTAGATGTTTTGATTGATATGGAAGTGTTCTTCAAAGGGCCTATTATTTGAGGGCTATATTGGGCTTTTTTATGTTACTAATTCGATCCTCTGAAGAATGTTACAAACCAGTCTTCACTTTCATACTGTGCCAGTTGATTAAACTAGCTGGCACTAAACTTTCTTATGTACATTAATATATGCCCACACAAAATAGCAGTAATAGCAACAGCTTTGCTCAGCTAAAGTTAGGTTTATAATTGAAATATCTACTAAAATTGCTGTAGATCTAAAAATAAATGCTAACAAGTTAGAAATCTATTTCCCGGAAAGCAATATAGCTCTTTTATGGGTTCCCCAGTCCAGTGATCTAGTATCTATAATCAAGAGCCAGATATTAGCAAATGTACCATTGCACTCCTATTGCTCACACCAATGTAATGTGTAATGCTAAGCAAGACATATAACTGAACTGTCTGGTACTTGTTCTAAAAGGGGGATAATTGTATTTACTCAACTCATGAGGGACCTTGTGATCTGCTTGAATCAATTAATTGTCTACCTTCTTCCCAGTGCCTCACTGGGATCTCAAAGCTATGGAACTGGCAGAGACCAGGATACATTTTTGCAGGAACAGTCAACAGTGCCAGACCTGACTCCAGCAAATGTAATTTAAAGCACAAATTGGTGCACACAAAGGCAAGAAAGAAAATGTGTTTCAGATCCTCCTTGATGAAACATTTCTGGAACTACTGATGCAGCTCTGCCTAGACACTTTTCTATTCTATTCCCCTTCAACTACATTCATCCCTGTTTTCATGTTACTGTGGAGCTGTGATGTTTGGTTCCTCACAGTTTCCCTTCAGATGCACAGCCATCCCTAAACTCCTTGATTCCTATGCCAGGAATGAATTTTTGATTTGGAACTCTGATTCTTCACTACTAACCCCAGTGTCTTAAAGCTCTCCTACTTATAATGTAGGTCTTCTCTCAGGAGTAGCGAGGATTCTTTTTTCATAACCCACCTCGGAGTAAGAGAGAATTTTTACAGAAGTGAGTACAGTTCTCCAAAATCTCTAACTTCTTTTTCCACAGCTCACTGTGTTCATCAAGCTACAAGTTTCTTAGCCGGATATGTTTCACAGCTCACTTTCACTCTATGAAGTGTGGCTGAGATTTGCTATCATCTCCCAGATCTGCAGGGAATACTTTACTTACTTGCAAACTTGGCTTCATTATGGCTTTGCTGAAGATTGAGTCTTCCTCAGCAGCGGCTGGATAATCCAATCTACTTTTGATAAGTGCAGACACAGACATCCATGTCACAGTCTTACGAGAATAAATCCGAAATTCATCCTAAATGAATATAAAAGTGTCACGATTTCCCTCAAAATCAGACCAAACTCACTATCATCTTGGAGTGAATGATTACAGTATGCCTTTCTAGAGCACTGCTCCAGCTTTTTTAAAGAACTAACCAACAGAGGCCTCCCAGCACCTGCGACTGATAGATAAATCAGCAGAATGGGAGCAGAACCATGGTCCTGTCAAAAAGTGAGTACTGCAAATAATACACTGACCGCAGGTCTGGTGCTTGGCTGATAAGGATGGAATGTGAACACCCAGGTCATGGTCTAGGACAGGCAAACAGTACGGAACAATCTGAGATGCAGTGACCATACTGTAAAGGGAAGCTCAAAAGGAACATAGCGCTGTACTGCAAAATGGATGTCTGGTGCCAATACCTCTTCAGTCATTTCTGTGTTAACACTTCATTGGAACAAGTGTGTTAGCACCATGCCTCCCTTATGGTAACTTAGACAAGCTTTTGCCACAAACTGAGTTCATGATCCTGCTATTTTTTATAAAATAAATTCAACACTGGAACTGCCTGATAACTAGTGTTAGTAGTACAGTCTTAGAGAGTAGAGTAACTACTGTAATAAGTACCCTCATGTTAAGTTTCAGTCCTGAAAACGGAACCACATGCATTAAAGCCAACTATGAGACTGACTTATATAGCATATTCAGTGTCTAAGCAGTTTGGCAGATGGAAAAAGCTGATTATCTCAGCCAGCCAGGTTCTAAAAGCACAGTTATTAAACTTCATTTGGAAATGACAACAGAAAAAAAAGATTCTGTACCAAATATGAGTCCTTTTGAATAATTTAAGGGTTCAAAAAAGTACTTTAATAATGTTTATATATCTTATTTATTTGTGCACTTTTCTTCTTAAACTGGTATTTTGAGTAGAGTAACATTTATTTTCTGATATTTATCTTTAATTTAAATTTCAGAATTAGTGGACATGAGGATGCAGATTGAGATGGGAAGCAGTGAATAACACAGGTGCTCATTATTTGAACTAAAGTGAGTCAAAATTCAGTAACAAAAGTGAGTTAATAGACTCTTATATTGCAATTGCAGAGATGAAGATGAATTATGAATGAAGGTTTTATGTGAAGCAAAAGAGAATTCCAAGGATCAAGCTGATGGGATTACTTGTATCCTCATTAGCAGTAGCCATAACATTTG